TTTACAATATGCTACTTCTACACAATTTAGTGACACATTTGTTATTCATCATGATGGGGCGAAATGAGAAAAGTGGCCCCTTGAAAAATCCCTGGGGGGGGGGGTCATTTTTTAATTATCGAGAGTTGCTACCCATTCAACGATTATACCAGGACGGATAGACTCCAATAATATTTGCTTATCCTCAGTACCTGGATCACAGACCTAGGCAGATGTGGCTCGATAGCTGGGGAAAGCAGCCCATCTAGTAGACAATGATTAGTTCAGGACGGCCTAACACCTGCAATATTTGCTTATCCTCGGTACCTGGATACTATGGGGTTTCAGCGTTACACTGCATATGTAGATAAAAGCATTAAGTCTATATAACCGGTTTAAATTACTGGCCTTCAAGTAGAGGAATTTTATAAAAATAACTGCCCACAATATTTAAATGTCAAATTGAAAATGCAAAGTATTTCTGTAATTAGGAACGGGTGGCAACGTTTATATAATAAGCAGAAAATGGTTTGTCGTTTGCTTAATTGTTCATCCACTTTTGAACGCTACACTAGGTACTGCTAGTTGTAGCTGGAAATATTGTGATTCAAAGGGTGAGGTTGTTCTCTTCCAACTTCAGAAAAGTTTGTGTAAGTATTTTTTTAGATGGCGAATCATTTAAAATAAGTTTTCATTCATCTTGTTTTACTCTTAGTTCTTGTTTTAATGTTGGAAGACATTTCCTCCAACACAAATAAGTATCTCGTGTCAACATGCTATGCGCCATTTAGGCCGTTGACTCCGATTTCAGCCTGCTTTTCTTTTTGGATTTTCTTCCAGTCAAGAACAAACGGCAAAGCAGCGGTTCTTTTTGTTTGATTTTTGAGTTGTCTCTCCTGGAATCGTCCCCAGCTGCCCGGTGGTTCCAAAGCGATACTTTTTGGTTTAGCAAACATGCAGAGGCGTAGCGACCCCTCCCGGCGCCCGGGGACAAAATTTCCATTTACCCCTCCCCCTATTATTTTTTATATTTATGATTTAAAATAGTAGCCAACATGAGCTTTTTTTTTTACTCCACTAGAATCGGCGCCCGGGGACATATGTACCCCCCGTCGCTACGCCTCTGCAACCATAAGCTTTACCGCTCGCCTACCCATCAAACAAAACGACATGTCCTTATTGTCAGTTTTGTTATGTAAACACTCCCAAAATAAACCGGGAGTGATCTCCCCTAAACTTTCTCGAATATTCTAATATAACACTATGGGGGATGGCAACTCGGGATATAGACTTCTAGACATAATTTTTAATCCATTTTAATTACTCAAATTTTTAAAAATAGAATATAATCTCGTAGACAAAAGAAATGCACACCAAGTGAACGCTAAATAAAGATGTGCATAATAGTGCGCAATCTTATTAGTACTTTATAAATTTACATGCGTTTTTTGAGAAATCGGAAATAGCGTAAATAAGTACTTCCGATAAACGGAAATTACTCAAAATTTGACAGAAGGTAGAGAATTAGATCTTTTACTTAAATATCAAATTTCATTTATCTATCTGAAATAGTACTCAAGTTATAGGCTTTTGAAAAATTCAAAGTAGAAAAAGTATCACTTCCGGTTATCGGAAATCGCTCAAAAGTTGATATGGAACTACGATTTTGATAAATAACTTATATATGAAATTTCATCAACCTAGCTGTAACGGTACTCAAGTTATTGTGTTTACACACGGACACACACACACACACAGACATACGGACAAGATTGCAAAATTATGTTTTTCCGTATCAGTGAGATGTAAAACGTCGAGATTAGCAAAAATCTCGATTTTTTTTTTTGCACGATTACAAGACTTTCTCTATACTTCGTATATACGAGAAAGTAAAAAAGAAAATAAATACAAAATTATTTAGCAGTTTTTGTGGGAAACGTATTAATCATAAATGTATGAGTTGTAAATGTATTTATGCATCTCATGTGTATGTTTAAGTATTTGTATATTTAAATGTGCTTTTGTATGTCGATTATGTATCTGTGTATGGATGTGTGTGATGTTCGTAAACAATTTAACATGATGTTATTAACGGAAGGGTTTGATGTATCAAAATGTAGACAATTCCACATGCATGTTTTTCCATTGGTTCTGCACATTCTTTAAAATTAGGGGTAAAAGGGTCTGTGCGTATTCTATGTGCTATAAGATGTGTAAGCCTATAACTATGTATGTACTTTTTATATGTGTATATGTTTTGAGTTTTAATTATGCTACGATTTAAAACAAAATTAGACTCTGCTTATATAAACGTTTAATTACATAAATTAGTAATGAACTTACCAGTCAACAATTAATTTCATCCTGCAGTTTCAGCATGTCTCTTCACATTTTTATCTGGCTACTTGTTTTATCGATAGCAAGTGTGTACGGGGCGGACAACTCCACGGTAAGAGAGAAACTCGATAAGTTGTTTATTCTCCCTTGTACAAAAATAGATAGTAAAACATGGGAAAATCTTCAATATTGACGGGCTTTAAACGTAAACACACACAGTTTAAAACCAGATATTTTCTACAGTTGTAATAGTATAATTATTTGTCGCCATAATATGAATTGAAAACCATATTGCTGATAGTGTTGTTGTTTTTTTTTAATATAAGCCTGTTTAATATCAGATTACATATTTTGCTGACTTGTAATATATTTTCTCTTTACAAGGCAAGCAATGCAACCTCTGTAACTAACACTACTCAGGTAACACAATGATTTCTATTTATAATACTCTATCTAGTGTTGAATTGGAAATATGTGTGTGTAAGCTTTCTATACTTTTATTGCAGGCTAAATCTACGGTTACAACTACTTCCCCTAAAACAACAGTAAGTGTCGTATATATATATATATATATATATATATATATATATATATATATATATATATATGTATATATATATATATATATATATATATATATATATATATATATATATATATATATATATACATATATACATAAATATAATTATATATAATATATATATATATACATATAATTATGTAAATACATTGTTCAATTAACAGTTTTAAAGTATTTACCTATCACTGTTTAAAGGTTGGCAAAGAAAAGAAAAAAGAAAAGGACAATTCAAAAGAGGTAATAATGTCTTGCTTGATTTATCAACACTTCATAAACAAGATAGAATTTGTATAAAGATTTCTTTTCAAATTTCTTTTCAAATGTATCGTGAAAACATATCTGTCTGTGTTTACTTGCTTGTGAGTTAGAAAGTTTGATATAGGCCTATGTTTTACAAATCTGTCTCCTTTAAAAGGGTGGCGATGACAGTGCTTCCAGTGACGAAGTTGACAAGGTGAGCGGTCATTAGTTACATATTAACTACAAACGTATTTGTGTTTTATGTATTTTGTTTGAAATCTAGCTTTATTTGTAATGTTTTTACCTTTATTTATGATGTCTTTACCTATATTTATGATGTCTTTACCTTCATTTATGATATCTTTTACTCTATGATGTCTTTTGTATTTTGATCTAGGGAAGACTAGACGAACTGAAACACTTACTTGAGGTTAGTTCAGTTTACTTTAGGTGCTCGTTTAAAAATGTTTAGCCCATTTACAGTTTTGGTGGGCGAAGCATTTTTCGTCTGTTAAAAACATGGAATTAATTTAGCCGGATGAATGTATATATATATATATATATATATATATATATATATATATATATATATATATATATATATATATATATATATATATATATATATATATATACATTCACCATCTATATGAAGAGGACAAACAATATATTCAATACATTTTCGATTTTCTCACCGATTTTCCTCTCAACAATGTTGTTGAAGGGTCTTGTGAAAAAACTTGAAGAGAAAAGTGGAGTTAAAAAGGTAAGTTACATCTTAGTACACTATTATACCAAAGCCCGACATTGCCATTAGATCGACAGACGTATAGATGGACATAAAAAAAGATAACTTTCTTTTGTCTATGTCGGCCTTATGTCTGTGTCGACATTTACTTGTTTCGGCCTTGCGCGGATCATCTATTATAGGTGTGGTGTGTCCGTATGTCTGAGGCTGTTAAATTATGCCAATCGTCGATTTGACCAGTGGCTGTTACTTATAGTACGATAACAACGTCACACCGATATATATCCAAATAATTACTTACTAGAATGTTCAGACGTCAGTGGTTGCATGTTTAGAATATTTTAAATTATTTCTCTATCGTACGTAGATTGATATAGTTTATCAAACCGCTTTTGAATCGTTTTTATTTTTATTTTTGCACTATCAGGTTATTGAACTCTTGTTTGGGAAAGACCAAAAAGACAAGGTAATTATTGTTTCCATACATTTGATGTAACAATTAAATATTTGTAAATGCACTGTGTACATTTGTTTAGTTGTATCACTTAAACAACAACAACAATCTTGTTACCTTTATATATATATATATATATATATATATATATATATATATATAAAGGTAACAAGATTGTTGTTGTTGTTTAAGTGATACAACTAAACAAATGTACACAGTGCATTTACAAATATTTAATTGTTACATCAAATGTATGGAAACAATAATTACCTTGTCTTTTTGGTCTTTCCCAAACAAGAGTTCAATAACCTGATAGTGCAAAAATAAAAATAAAAACGATTCAAAAGCGGTTTGATAAACTATATCAATCTACGTACGATAGAGAAATAATTTAAAATATTCTAAACATGCAACCACTGACGTCTGAACATTCTAGTAAGTAATTATTTGGATATATATCGGTGTGACGTTGTTATCGTCGATTTGACCAGTGGCATATATATATATATATATATATATATATATATATATATATATATATATTATATATATATATATATATATATATATATCATAATTTACATTGTTACATTCGAAACTTCTTTTTAAATTTACAAACAAAATTACAAACATTGCACTTTGTTTTCTAGGACAAGAAAGATAAAAAAGATGATAAGAAGGTAAAAGTTTTAACAGCCCGGGGGTCGGGGTAACGGTTTGCTAGGGGTGTTGCTATTTTAATAAGGATGCATGGAGAGGGTGGCGGCCAAGCAGACGGAAAATTATATCCTTGTCGGGTGCTTTATTATTATTATCGCTGGGTCATTAACCCAGTCTGATTATTACTATTAATTGCGAAATGTTTAACCTGCCTAAATAAACTAACTATAGTATAGGTTCGTTTTGTGAATCAGTTGTCTCTCATATAGACTAACCAAAGCTTCGTTATGTGAATCAGTTGTCTCTTATATAGACTAACCAGGGGTTCGTTGTGTGAATCATTTGTCTCTAACTAGACTAACTATAGTAGAGGTTCGTTGTGTGAATCAGTTGTCTCTCGTATAGACTAACCAGGGGTTCGTTGTGTGAATCATTTGTCTCTAACTAGACTAACTATAGTAGAGGTTCGTTGTGTGAATCAGTTGTCTCTCATATAGACTAACCAGGGGTTCGTTGTGTGAATCATTTGTCTCTAACTAGACTAACTATAGTAGAGGTTCGTTGTGTGAATCAGTTGTCTCTCATATAGACTAACCAGGGGTTCGTTGTGTGAATCATTTGTCTCTAACTAGACTAACTATAGTAGAGGTTCGTTGTGTGAATCAGTTGTCTCTCATATAGACTAACCAGGGGTTCGTTGTGTGAATAAGTTGTCTCTCATATAGACTAATCAGTGGATCGTTGTGTGAATAAGTCATCTTGCTAATCAAATGTCACCTCCCTGATTCGCAAAGCAAATTGGCCGTTTAAAATAAACTTAGGAGAATCTTCAGAGAACATCATTTTAGACTCTAGACTCTAGAGGTTTTAATCTGTTTGACAAGTCCATTGTCCAACAGTCATATGAAATCTAAATTAAAATTTGAAATGTAATCAGCTCATCAGCTAATTTAATTAACAAAAATTTTCATCAAAACCATGGCCATTAATAACTTATGTATTTTTGTTATATCTTAGGTTAAAAAGGATAGAAAAGATGACAAAAAGGTGAGATTAAAAGAACACAGCAAGTGTTGTCTTGTATTGCTAGATGTGTTGATTGTGTTATGTAGTGTCAAATTTTAACTGCTTAAAAATCTTAGAATTCCCTTTTCGAGCAAGACGTCCCATGGGATAAGTAAAGTAGAGTTCACCTATTTCTTTGACCTCGACATATAAAGGGATAGTGTGGTCAGCACTTTACCCAGCATTGACTTCACCTAACGTGAATCAGTGCTGGGTGGACTCAGGGACTTCATCCTGGGCTCAACCTCGAGACTTTCGGGTTAGCAGTCTAACGTTCTATCGCTAGGCCACGCCGTTCAATGATATTGAGTACGGCAGCGATAAATATGACATAATTAGGCCTACTCATTGAAGGAAATAATGTTATCCAATCAGACTTGAGTTCACCTGTCTCTATTAACTCGACATATATAGCGATAGTGTGGTCAGTTCTATACTCAGGTACCAATCAGAGCTGAGTCGACTCAGTGACGTCCTACTGACTCGAGTCTGGGAGCCTAACATCAGAACAGTGTTTCTTCCAGACTTTTTTTTCTCCGGGGGGAGGGCAATTGAAATTTTCGGGGGGTGGACTAAAGTTTCCGGGGGGGGGGGGGACATTGTTAAAAGTATATATTTTTTATTTAAATTCCATTTCATTCGGGGGGGGGGGTAGACTTTCTTTGTTAGAGATGTCTGGAAGAAACACTGCGGCTGAGTATGGAATCGTATTTAATACAAACTTATTTTATACATTTTGTTTCGTTTTAATATTTCGTTTTTGTTTATTACTTTTATTCTTAGAGCAAGAAAGCTAACCCTGATACAGAGAAAGAAAAGGTTTTTATCTAAAAATTTAAATTAATAAATAAATATTATGAAAGAACGCAAGTAGTTAAAATCTTTTAAAATGCAGCTTAAAGAAAATATATTTTACATAATTTAAAACTCAGTAAGACGAAAAAAATATTGTTAGAGTTTTATTTTTATTTTTTTTCCCAAGATGAAGATTAAATATTTTATCTTTTTGGGTATTAAATTACTGAAATGTTATCCACGATAAATCATCTTGTTTTAATGTTATAGATAGTCATTTTTATGGGTCTTACAACGTAGCTATTTTAAATTGATACTTTTTTTAAAATTCGCGTTTGATAGTTTGAAACACAAGGTTAAACGGTATTTTGTTTAAAGAAATTTTTTTTTATTTTTTTTTTAATTTTAAATCTAGAACAAGAAGAAAAGAAAAGATGATGACAAAGAAAAGGTCAGTTATTTTTAACTTAATGACGAAATGGTATCATCGTAGTTCAAACTACTCACAGCATAAATCACCATGACTATACGTGCATTGTTTAATGGTATCTCTTAAGAATATCATGCTAACTTTATCTGCAACTTAAACAAGAAAAATCTCATACTCCTCTTATATATATATATATATATATATATATATATATATATATATATATATATATATATGTAACTAGTGTAGTTACTAAAGACGATTGATAAGAACGCAATACAGTCTGTCAACTAAGACATGACCAAGGCCAAACTGAACTGATGCAACGGATGCAGGTGGTGTGACAGAAATAGAAACAAAAGTCTAATAATAACTAGTACAAGACAACTGCGTAGTTGGGAGGCGATATAATCGAAGTGCGGAGTTCATAGATATGATGCAACGGATAGAACCGATTACGAATACAAGGCGACTGCGTAGTTGAGAGGCGATATAATAGGACTGCACGACGAGAAGTGAGGAGAACAGAAGTTGAAGCCTGAACTGTAGATACGTGTTTTAAGTTGTTAGAATAAGATTGGAAGCCTGAACCATGGACACGTGTATTCTGATGTGTGAGAACTAGTGAGGACAGTGGGGGTCAGTTGGTTCATTGTATTCTTGTGGAACATTGATGCATTGCTATTGATTCAATTAATAAAGAGATAAATGTAAACCTGCACTTCAGAGTACCTGTATTGTGATTAATGTTGTGTGCCGGTCAAAGATAGCACAAGTAAATATACCCAGTAACATTTGGCGTGGCGAGTAAATACACTCGGTAACATTTGGCGCTGCGAGTAGTTGAACTCAACTAGACCAGCCGTTAGCGGCAACCATTGTCAACCTGGTCAATAACTGTGTTTTGTGTGTGAATTCGGACAATCGAGGAACAGGGAAAAGTATTCTTACATAAACGGTAGGAAAGGTCTTTTTATTCAAAGAAAATATATTTAAGGATAAACTTTACCTGAAAAATTAAATTAGAATGTCTAATTTGGTCGAAAAGCCGACCCATATTGTGGTCTTGCCCAGAGAATCCCACATAAACAAATTTTATGGAGACGGTGATTCAACCTTAACTAACAGATTCTGTGAGGAGGTGAAAGCCGCCTGGGCCTCGAGATACATGTCACCAGAGGAAAGATTAAGGTTGTTGATTAGCAGTATAGGGGAGACGGTTAGGGCGGAGGTCAAATGCCACGATAAAGCCCTCCAAACAGACCCAGATAAGGTGTTAGATCTAATTTTGGAGACCTTTGGTGAGAGACGGTCGGGGTCGCAACTGCTATCGGGGTTCGTAGGTCTAAAGCAGAGACTGGCGGAGAGTGTGATGGAATATTCACACCGAATGAACAGGGCCTTTGACGCTGTAAAAGGCAAAACACCCGACATTGATGCGCGCCTGCTGAGGGATCATTTTATCGAAGTGTTTGCAACCCCTATCTTAAGAAGAGATTTGAAAGAGGAGGTGTACAAGGACCCACAGTTGACCTTCCTTCAGGTCAGGAACTCAGCGATCCGCAGGTCAGAGTATGAGGACGAATCGAACTGCTCGGTAGACAAAATCTCTGTGCCAGAACAGAAACAATCACCACCTACAGGGACCAGCACGATGGAAACCATGATGGCCCAACTGTTAGCTCACCTGGATAAGGTTGACCAACGGTTGGAGAGGTTAGAAAGTAGGTCAAAAGCAGATAACCACGGCAAAAACTGGACAAGACATAGACAAGTTAGACAGCCGCGACCTGCAAATCCATCACTCCAGTGGACAGCTGACGGTCGACCAATCTGCCTGTACTGCTCACAGCCCGGACATATTGCACGGTACTGTCAGGGAAACGATCGCCCTCTGTAAGGCAGGGCCAGGCTACAGAGGGGCGAGGTTATGGCCTAAGGAACAAAATGATTGGAGTCTGTCCCGAGATGACGATCACGATCGGGGACATCGAGGTTAAAGCAATTGTTGATACAGGCTCCCAGGTGACGACCATTACTGAACATTTTTACACCAAATGGATGAAAGGAAAAAACCATAGTTTAAGGTCTGATACGTGCATGCGCCTGACGGCAGCTAATGGATTAACCATTCCATACTGTGGCTATTTTCTGGCAGATGTGGGTGTGGCAGGATACAGGTTGAAGCAGGTTGGGGTGTTCGTCACGAAACACAACCTAGAGACAAATGTGTCAAATGTACCTTGCTTGTTGGGCATGAACATCCTTGGCCAGTTGCCAGAATTTCTCTCAAATGTTGTCGGATCGCCAACACCAGGTCGTGGATCCAAGTTGGCCAGGTTTGCTAAGACCAGAGGAAGGACATCAATCCCAGCAAACACGGTCAAGGCAATCACACTACAAATTGGTGATAGAAGCGTGAATGGTGATGTGATGATAGAACCATGTAGCGCCGCACTGAGGGCAGGCGTCATGTTACTTCGGACATACATATCAGCGGAAAATGGACTGGTTCTAGGGTTAGTGGTAAATGTATTGGATGAGGAAATTTTTATACCGCCTAATACTCTGGTAGGAGTACCACAGAACGTCGAGGTAAAAACTTCGGCACAGTGCATCGAACTGATCAATACCAGCAGTAATGAAGTAACAATTAGGTCGGTCAATGTGACTGCCAAGGTGAAGAAAGAAGATGACCGAACATACACACTCCCGGAAACTGATGACCCAACATTAAATGAATTGCTGAATAAGTACAAGGATATATTTGCCTCGTACGAGGGTGATTTGGGGTACACGGAGGTAATAAAACACCAGATACCCTTACTGCAAGACAAGCCTGTGGCGCAACCTTATCGAAGATTACCACCAAGTCACTACTCTGCGGTGAAAGCACACCTGAACGATCTACTAAAAAAGGGAATTATTACAACCAGCACAAGCCCGTATGCGGCACCGATAGTAGTTGTAAAAAAGAAGTCAGGGGAGATAAGGCTGTGTTGTGATTACCGTAAATTGAACATCACAAGAAGGGATGCATTTCCCTTGCCGCGTATTGATGAATGTCTTGATGCGTTGGGGGGGAGCAAGATTTTTTTCTACCCTAGATTTGGCTAGTGGCTACCACCAAGTGGCCATGGACCCCGACGATCAACATAAGACTGCATTTATTTCTCCACTAGGACTGTACGAGTGGACCCGTATGACGTTTGGCCTAACTAATGCGCCTGCTACATTCCAGCGAGTAATGCAAAGTGCTATGAGTGACTTCCTATTTCAAATAATGTTGGTGTACTTGGATGATATACTAGTTTACTCAAAAACTTGGGAGGACCATCTAGAAAGATTAGAACAAGTTTTTCTCCGTCTTAGAGAGATAGGAGTCAAGCTGAACCCAAACAAATGCTGGTTCGGTCTAAAATCGGTACGTTTTTTGGGCTATGTGATTTCTGCTAATGGCATCGGCACTGACCCAGACAAAATTGCGGCTGTGAAAGAATGGAAACAGCCAACAACCACAGTAGAGGTCAGATCATTCTTAGGCTTTGCTTCCTATTATAGAAAATTTGTACCTGGTTTTGCAAAAATTGCCGCACCGTTGCATGAGTTAGTAAACAAAATGACACAGAAACACAGTAAGGAAAAAAGAAAGGTAAAACACAACTGATAGGGGAATTATGGACTGATGAATGCCTAAACTCGTTTAAGCTACTGAAAAATGCTTTGACCGAGGCGCCGATATAAGGATACGCAGACTTTGACAAACCATTTCGGCTAGAAATTGACGCCAGCTCTAAAGGTCTGGGAGCTGTACTATCACAACAACAGGAGCAAGGTTTCAGGGTTATTGCGTATGCCAGTCGGGCTCTGAAGGAATCAGAGAAGAACATGACAAATTACAGCGCCATGAAATTAGAGCTTTTGACATTAAAATGGGCTGTGACTGAAAATTTCAGGGACTACCTATTAGGTGCTAAATGTGTGGTATACACTGACAATAACCCCCTGAGTCACCTACAGACAGCAAAGTTGGGATCCATCGAACAGCGATGGGCAGCAGAATTGGCACTCTTTGACCTGGAGATAAAATATCGCCCAGGGCAGTCCAATGGCAATGCTGACGCTTTATCAAGGAATCCTTACGAGAGACCGGGCGATGAGGAAGAAACGCTGACAGGAATATGTGAGGTCAGAGCGTCAACAGATATCCATCATGAGGTGCAAGTGATGCAAAACGGGCAGACCGCGGTTGAGCACACATCCACAGAGCCCCGACACATGGACACCAGTGATTTTAATTGCCTTAATCATAAAGAGATAAGAGATGCCCAGAGAACGGATAGTGGGATACAGCCGCTGTTGAAATACGCCCAGGAACAAAAATTCCCAAGAAGAAGGGAAAGAGAACAGTTTGGTCGGGAAACAAAGAAACTACTGAGTCAGTGGGACCGCCTCAGTATGAAGGATGGTGTTCTCATGCGGAGAATTCATGACCACATAGAAGGGTCAATACACCAAGTGGTGGTGCCTGGACAGTTACGAGAAGAGGTGCTAAGGTTGGCACATGACAGGGCGGGACACCAGGGTCAGGAAAGGACGCACAAAATATTACGACGGCGGTGCTACTGGCCCAATATGGAGATGGAGGTCAAACGCCATTGTGAGGCTTGTGTGAGGTGTCAGCATGCGAAAATGCCAGTTGTCAAAATGAGACAGTCATCAGGACACCTACTGGCGACGAAACCCCTAGAGATTGTGGCTATGGACTTTACGTCGTTGGAGCAATCATCGGATGGGACGGAACATGTGTTGGTGATGACTGACGTATTCACCAAATGGACTGTCGCGGTGCCCACACGAGACCAGACGGCCAAAACAGTGGCAAACGTCTTAATAGAACACTGGTTCATCAAATATGGTATACCAAGACAATTACACTCTGACCAAGGAAGGGCCTTTGAGTCAGAAGTAATTAATCAACTGTGCAGCCACTACGGGATCAACAAATCTAGAACAACCACATATAATCCTAAAGGAAACGGACGGTTCAACCGCAGCATGCATGATTTGCTGCGTACTCTAGAACCTGAACAGAAAAAACGTTGGCCTGATTTTCTCCCAGAGTTGGTATACCTATACAACTGTACCCTCCATGCCACAACCGGCCTTTCGCCACATATGTTACTGTTCGGACGGGAGGCTCGACTCCCTCTTGAAGGAAAGCATGACTGGCTCATACACCGCACTGGAATATGTGAATGAACATATGAGACGAATTAGAGAAATGTACAGGGTGGTACAAGAAAGACTAGAACATGAAGCACGGCGAAGAGAACCGTTGGTACAGACAAAAGACCCGCCACTCCAACTGAACGACAAAGTATTACTGCGTAGCCACCCATTAGGCAGAAACAAAATCCACGACTTCTGGGGACAGGAGGTATGGAAAGTCGTGGAGATGCCTAAAGTAGCCGGTGGCCCCTTTAAAGTAAGACCCACCAATCACACCAAACCGGACAGTTGGGCGAATATTACTCAATTAAAGAAATATTGGCATAGTCAAGAAGAGCATTTACACACAAAGAAAACTAAGACAATTAGGGAACCAGAAACTTACACGGAAATTCACATACCCATCCCTGAACCATGTCACCATCAACAGCACAACAGCGATACACAAGTGGAGGATAACTGCAACAATGAGGATCCCGGTCCTCCCAGAAGTAGAGAGACAGTAGAATATCAGATAAGTGGTCCGCGGAGAAGTTTGAGGAACAGAAAGAGTACGAAATTTTTCGTCAGCAACCATCAATTCTTTCATGGTCGCGCTGGTATGAGAACAGACTGTCCAAAAGCTATAAAAGTAAACTGGTGATGACACCAAACGAAAAAAACGGCGGGGGTGGATGTGAATTCTAGAACTGCTTTGTGTCTGAGGAATATGATGTAGACACATTTAATATGTTGAAATGGGGATAACTCTCAATCTTGTACGAACGTGACGACATTGACAGTGAGTGGAACAGTAACTTTTTTTTTACGGTGTTGCGTCTGACATTGGAGGAGTGCACCTGCCAAGCGTTGTTTGTGGTTGAGAACACACAGAAAAAAACGGCGGGAGTGGATGTAACTAGTGTAGTTACTAAAGACGATTGATAAGAACGCAATACAGTCTGTCAACTAAGACATGACCAAGGCCAAACTGAACTGATGCAACGGATGCAGGTGGTGTGACAGAAATAGAAACAAAAGTCTAATAATAACTAGTACAAGACAACTGCGTAGTTGGGAGGCGATATAATCGAAGTGCGGAGTTCATAGATATGATGCAACGGATAGAACCGATTACGAATACAAGGCGACTGCGTAGTTGAGAGGCGATATAATAGGACTGCACGACGAGAAGTGAGGAGAACAGAAGTTGAAGCCTGAACTGTAGATGCGTGTTTTAAGTTGTTAGAATAAGTTTGGAAGCCTGAACCATGGACACATGTATTCTGATGTGTGAGAACTAGTGAGGACAGTGGGGGTCAGTTGGTTCATTGTATTCTTGTGGAACATTGATGCATTGCTATTGATTCAATTAATAAAGAGATAAATGTAAACCTGCACTTCAGAGTATCTGTATTGTGATTAATGTTGTGTGTCGGTCAAAGATAGCAAAAGTAAATATACCCAGTAACATTTGGCGTGGCGAGTAAATACACTCGGTAACATATATATATATATATATATGTTACGGTCAAAGCCCGAAGTCGGCCAATGCTAGGATTGGCCGGCCAATCCGCGCATTGGCCAATATCGCCTCCCATAGGTCGGTCAAAGTCCGAAACTTTGCTTCATTTCGGCCTTTGGCCGGCCAATCCGCAGACTGGCCATTGTGGACCGGCCAAAGTCTGAAATAGCTCTTGATTTCGGCCTTTGGCCGGCCAGTCCCGGCCAGTCCGCGGTCTGGCCATGGTGGACCGGCCAAAGTCTTAATTAGAAGATCATGAGCAGATTTTGGTTTTTTTTATGCCGGTAGGATCATGAAATTAAGTCTTTATTGATTATTAATTAAAGTAAATGACAGAAACATTCAAATTTTTTATTGTACTATAGTCTCAATCAATCAATATTATCATTTGTTACAACAAGTTGAACTTTTATGGTATTTAGAATTACATAGCAGCTTGTTATTTTTACACTTGCAGCGATTTGTTGTACACTTGGTTGTGCAATTGCAGCGAGTGTAGCCTTGGCCCCCAGTCAATGATTGTGAAGATGCGATGAAGATGCGATTGTTCGTAGTGATTTTTCCTCAGTGCCAACTGACAACAATAAGAGCAGTTTTTCGTGAAGATGTGAAAACTCACTTCTAGCATACAGTTGTTTTAGAACACCATGTTCCGTTCCTAATTTGTAGAAACCGCCCTCGACGCTCATGCAATCACGCTTCGGGGATCACCGCGACCTCTGTCACCATCTGGAACACGGATGCGTACATTGTCACCCACTTCACCATCTTTAAATTTTGTATTTGATGTTTTAAGCATCTTAGCACCTTGATTTTGCAAGCCAGTATGAGCTGCTGACCTGTGTTCCATGATGTCTTGTTTGTTGTGACACAATCTGCAGGTAATGTTCCCTCCGTACCATTCGTCAACTTCATTGGGTATTCCACAAATAGCATGCACATCGTTGCCACAGGATCCACAAGAATGAGCTGCACTACAATGTTTGAATTAACATTTTTTTCTTTTGACAGCCATTTGCTATGTATGTCTCTTGGTCTGGCAGCCCTTTTGATCCATGTCGCCTTGCATATAGAATGCTATACAAACAAGAGCTAAACAATACGTTACTCACAATGAAACCGCACCCAGAATAATTAAAACGCGATCACAACTTAGTCTAGATACAACATTGGCCAGGACATCCCGGCCAATGCGCGCATTGGCCGGCCAATGTACAAAATACGGTGTCAAGTTTAAGTACTTCGGACTTTGGCCAGTACGTCCCGGCCAGTGCGCGCATTGGCCGGCCAATGTACGAAATACGATATTAGTTGTAAGTTCTTCGGGCTTTGGCCAAGAGAGCCGGCCAATCCGCGCATTGGCCGGCCAATCCGGGGTTTGGCCGCACTTCGGGCTTTGACCGTAACATATATATTATATAAGAATTAATATTGGAACATTCGGACCATCTTTTAAAATGTACAAACAATGCTACAAACTTTGCTTTTATTTTCTTAGGACAAAAAAGATAAAAAAGTTAAAAAAGATGATAAAAAGGTAAAAGTTTTAACAGCCTAGGTTGTTTAATTTAAGGGACGAGTGAGTAAAGAAGTTTTAGTAGCATTTATGTCTAGTTAACGCCGCACTCAAATGATCATTGATTTTTTAAATTTATTTTTTATTTTATATTCGAGAAGCCTCGAAGCATTTAGAAAAAATCAGGAAATAAATTGGAGCTACTCTTATGAACGCTGTGATTTATAGTTAGCAATACTTACAATAGTAATACTTAGTATATCAATGCTTTGTTTAGGAATACTTAGTATAACAATAGCAATACTTTGTGTAACAATACTTAGTATAGCAATACTTTGTGTAACAATATTTAGTAAAGTAATGCTTTGTGTAACAAAACTTAGTAAAGTAATGCTTTGTGTAACAATACTTAGTATAGCAATACTTTGATTTGCTGCAGCTGGGTTTATTCAATCAAATTTTCTTTTTTTTAAACAGATCAACGGTACCCTACCCCTGATTGGCTGAATCAAGGCTAAGCTAATGAGATCAGTTCATTAATTTTATTACGTGGAGTAATTTGTTAAATAAAATGTGTTTTTCATATTGTCATACTAAACGTTTAATTTAGTGGTATCATCATTCATCAACATCTTAATATTACACAGCACTATTAGAAATTTAAAAAATAACTCATAAATTTTACGTATAAATTCAAATTTAATTCAAAAATACACCATATGGAAAGTTACTAGCTACTTCATACATACATAAGTTTAAAAATAGACTGTGTAAAACGGTTGACAATTTGTATTATCATTCACCAATGTCAATACGTTTTGTAATAAAAGAATTCATGAGCATCTGTATCAATAAATGTGTTTTATATTATCTTGATATAAAGATGAGAAAAATAAATATATCACAAAAAGGGAAGATATTTTGAGTTATACATCTATTGTTTTTAAGTGCAAGACATTCTAGCAGTGTGCGGTAAGTTAGGAAAGAATACTCTGTTTGATCTCAGTACAAACTAGTATTTATTCGATTGCTTCCCTTACTATTTTAGTATTGTTTTCAATTATTTTTTTTTTACATTTTGGCAGTATAACAAATGTACACATGTATAGTTATTTAAAAAGTTGTATTCATATATTAAATGAAAAATGCATACATAAATTCATGACATAGTTACGTAATTACTGACAATTTTATCTGTCTTCTTCTTTAAATAGTTATGAGGTACTAGATACGGCAAATCACCTGATTGGTTAAAATAGGATGTCTTGATCATTACATATATCAAGTGGATATAATTGTATTACACATACCTTACGCCAACACTCACCTGCACTTAAAGCATCTTCATACATCGGTAGATTCTACAGCAAATAAAACTAGCAGTTAGGCTAGGGGTTAAGATTTGTGTTATGAGATGATTGGGTAGTTGCAACTGTCACCCAATCCACCACTCCTGTCACTCACACACGATCATCCTAAATATTGTATACACCTACGTCATGTTTGATTCGTGAATTGTTTGTTGAACGGGACAAATAGTGGGGAGGGGGGTGTTTTTTGTTGTTTTTATTTATTTTTATTTTTTTAAATTATTTTTTTTTTTTTTGTTGAAGATTGTCGCAATATTCCTACGTAATCTCATAAATTGTTATCTATAAACGGTCCCATACAATAAAGAGCGTTTAATTCCTTCTGTTTTTTTATTTTTATTTCTTACATTTTCACGATTTTGACTTCAGCAGAGATGCCGACTCCTTGAACTAAACAGATGTTTAACAGTTTTCTTACCGAGACTCCATTCATGTTTTTTTTTATTTAATTTTTTTTAAATACTGAACTCTTATTTCCTCGAGTTAAAAAAATTGAAATATTTTTTAGACCGAGCCTCCTTTCTTTTTTTTAATGGTCTCGCACTCTTTGGTGACGTAATCGCCGGTCTCGTCTGACGTAATCCGGCTGTTGTCCGCCTTCTCGTCGAACTTGGCCGGACACAAATATCCGTCCGGACAGTTACACAGGAACTGTACCTGTAGGAGGAAGGAGGCTGTGTTTAGGCGTCATTAGCACACGGCGTCACATTTTTTTAACCACCGTTACACATCGTCCCATGTCGCCACATGACGTCACACATCGTCACTTCATGTCCTACCGTTACTTGGGTCGGTCCTAATGTCCTACTTCCTGTCCTACCGTTACTTGAGTATGTCCTAATGTCCTGCCGCTACTTGAGTCTGTCCTAATGTCCTACCGTTACTTGAGTCTGCCCTAATGTCCTACTTATGTCCTAACGTTACTTGGGTCTGTCCACATGTCCTACTACATGTCCTACCGTTTCTTGAGTCTATCCTAATGTCCTACTTATGTCCTACCGTTACTTGAGCCTGTCCTAATGTCCTAATTATGTCCTACCGTTACTTGAGTCTGTCCTAATGTCCTACTTATGTCCTAACGTTACTTGGGTATGTCCTAATGTCCTACCTCATGTCCTACCGTTACTTGAGTCTGTTCTATTGTCCTACTAATGTCCTACCGTTACTTGAGTCTGTCCTAATGTCCTACCGCTACTTGAGTCTGTCCTAATGTCCTACCGTTACTTGAGTCTGTCCTAATGTCCTACTTCATGTCCTAACGTTACTTGGGTATGTCCTAATGTCCTACCTCATGTCCTACCGTTACTTGAGTCTGTTTTATTGTCCTACTAATGTCCTACCGTTACTTGAGTCTGTCCTAATGTCCTACCGCTACTTGAGTCTGTCCTAATGTCCTACCGTTACTTGAGTCTGTCCTAATGTCCTACTTCATGTCCTAACGTTACTTGGGTATGTCCTAATGTCCTACCTCATGTCCTACCGTTACTTGAGTCTGTTCTATTGTCCTACTAATGTCCTACCGTTACTTGAGTCTGTCCTAATGTCCTACCGCTACTTGAGTCTGTCGTAATGTCCTACCGTTACTTGAGTCTGTCCTAATGTCCTAATGTCCACTACCCACCTCCAGAACCTTGTCCGTGTACTTGCGTGTGTCCACGTAGATCTTGGCACAAACACTTTTGTCGTTCAGTGTTTGACTGGGGTCACGGCATTCATCCTGTGGGTAGAGAACAGGGGTGGTTAGGGGTAGGTGTAGGGGTAGGTGTAGGGGGAGGCAGAAGGGGAAGGGGAGGTAGGGGTAGGGGTAGAGGTAGGGGTATGGGTAGGGGTAGGGGTAGGGGTGGGGGGTAGGGGGTAGAGGTGGGCGTAGTGTAGGGGTAGGGTAGGGGTAGGGGTAGGGGGTAGGGGGTAGGGGTAGGGGGTAGGTGTAGGGGTAGGGGTAGGGGTACAGGTAGGGGTAGGGGTAGGGGGTAGGGGTAGGGGGTAGGGGTAGGGGTATGGTTGGGACAGGGGTAGGAGTAGGGGGTAGGTGTAGGTAGGGGTAGATTTAGGGTAGAGGTAGAGGTAGGGGTAGGGGGTAGGGGTAGGGGTAGGGGTAGGGGTATGGTTGGGACAGGGGTAGGGGTAGGGGGTAGGTGTAGGTAGGGGTAGATTTAGGGGTAGGTGTAGGTGTAGGTGTAGGGGGTAGGGGTAGTGGTAGAGGTAGTGGTAGGGGTAGGGGTAGGGGGAGAGTAGGGGTAGAGGTAAAGGTAGAGGTAGAGGTAGAGGTAGAGGTAGAGTTAGGGGTAGGGGTAGGGGTAGGGTTAGGGGCAGGTCGGGGTAGAGTTAGGGGTAGGGGTAGGGATAGGGGTAGGGGTAGAGGCAGGGGTAGGGGTAGGGGTAGGGGTAGAGGTAAGGGTTGGGACCAAGGTAGTGGCAGGGATAGGGTTAGGTTTGTGACAGGATAAGGGTTATAGGAGTAGGGTTAGGGTTAGAATATAGAGTTTTATAATGAAGGGTTGTTCAAAGTATTGTCACTTGTTTGGTAAGTTTAGATGAATCATTTAGATAAGCGAGTAACGGTGGTATGAAATATCGGTTCTTGAAGTTTAAAGGGTCGTATGTTTTATTTAGCTGTTGTCGTGTAGTTGAAGGTCTAGTAGAATCTGATTGGTAGTAGAGAAATGAGAAAGTAGGTGATGAAGTATCGCTGCTCTGGAGTCCGGGAGTATCGAGCCCTGTGGTATTAAGGTATCGAAATGTGTTGACTGTTATAGTGTAATAGTAGGTCTAGTTAAATCTGTTGATTAGGAGTATCGTTTGTCGAGCTTGGTAAAGTTAAATGAGTTGGTGTCGTAGTTCTGGAGCATCGAAGTTGGATATGTGTTGTAAATGTAGTAGCGTTTGAGTATATCGAGTAGTCGAGTTTATCGTAAGTTAGATGATTTCAATTCAGAACGGAACACAATACAAAGAAAGGTAGGCTTCCTCTTAAGGTGAATAATTTTTAGGAATCCACATTACCACTCTTAAAGTATTAATATATAATATTATATAGGCTGGAATTTATAACTAAACATAAACTTCGTTTTTTTTTTCAAAAAATTGGCGTAGCCAGGATCGCCTCATGGGGGGTTCAAATTTTATATTTTTATTATATATATATATATATATATATATATATATATATATATATATATATATATATATATATATATATATACATATATATATATATATATATATATATATATATATATATATATATATATATATATATATATATATATATATATATATATATACTAGTTGTATATCATTGCTTCGCGATGATGTAAAATAAATTGAAAGTAGTACTCTGAAGAAATAAGAAAAAACACATAATGTAGGCAGACAAAACAAAACAATGTATCACTCTAAACACAAAAAATATACACAAAATACAACCAAAAACAATGAACGCAACACAATTATTTTTTTTCATCCTTGTAAAAAAAAAATTTACATAATGATTCCTTGAATATCAATTAAGACAAACGAACTAGGGAAATAATCACTCTCTTAATATAAATATGTGTACTTCTACAAATTCAATTGTAAATGTCAAAACAGATCAATAATTACTTTAGTATGTAATATAGTAGATAACACTATTCCTTTTTACAACAATATGTTGTCTACATTCAGAATTAAATATATTTTCATCATAAACGTTAAAAAATTACAGCATGATGTAAGTTTTTGAAATCAGATAACGCTTTTTTATTTAATACAAAAACTATAACTAATAAGCGGAACATTCCGATTAATAGCCTATTATAACTAATATACTGGTCTTGCAGTTACAATCATTCAATTTTTTATTAGCTACTGTTTTTTGTGTTCTTTAAAATTAATTTTTAACATAATGAGAATGTATGGGTTAGGTCAGGGGTCGGCAACCTTTTGAAGTGGAAGAGCCAAAAGTTACAATTTTCAAAATTTCCCTGGTTTTAAAGAGCCACTAACATTTTTTTTATTTCAAATATTTTATTTTTTTATAAAGATTATTAGTATTTGTTCAAGGAGCCGGAGAGCCGCATCTTGATATCAAAAGAGCCGCATGCGGCTCGCGAGCCGCAGGTTGCCGACCCCTGGGTTAGGTCATTGTATTGATCACATACCTTTTACTGGTAATTTCAAAAACAATATTTACACAGTTTTACCTGTTTCAAAAGCTACGATTCTGGCGGCGTTTTCCCAAATGTACTTAACAGATCAGTTCGGGGTGGGTTGGGTGGGGGGGGGGGAGAGAGAGGGGTTCAACTTTATTCACCACTGTCCGGTCACTTTAGGTCAATTATCCAACCCAGTGTATACCTATGTGTGAAATTGATGTCGCTCTACACAATTAAGACCTGTCCCGTTTTAGGTGGTGAAGTGGGAGGGGGAGGGGGTGCGGAGAAACCAACTCAGAGTGAACATAGCGTCAGTTTTTAGATAACTGTTCTAAACATACATATACTATTATACATATATACTGATTCAGAAATAGATTAAAATAAGTAACAGTGGTATTATGACAGTAAAAAAAATATAACAGAGTGGTCCATGAGGGGGGTTGTAACCCCTCCCCATAACCACCACCACCCTCCTGCCTACGCCATTGTTTTTTAATATGTAAACAATACTTATAGCAATATCGTAATGCAGGGGTCGGCAACCTTTTGGGAAGGAAGAGCCAAAAAATACAATTTACAAAATTTCTTAGTTTTAAAGAGCCACTAACATTTTTATTTCAATATTATGATATTTGATTAGTATTATAAATACATACACACCCAAATACATACATATATATATATATATATATATATATATATATATATATATATATATATATATATATATATATATATATATATATATATATATATATATATATATATATATATTGCTTTTTGATAATGCAAAAGTGTGACGTCGCACCATCTGAACCCCCCACCCCCTCATCACACACCGTCACAAAATTAAGGACCCCCCCCCCCCCCCCCCCCCCGCTCCCCCCTACGAGTTAGACGTCATTTATTGACGACCCCTTAGCTCGTTTAGTTTCTTTGTGCTATATACCATGTAGTTGACTGTTTCAATTTCAGGTGAACAAGTTAATAGGAAGTATATTGAAATAGGGAGTAACTAAACATTTTAATAGAATAGCGAGTGTTTATTGTTTATATTTATTATTATACGTTCAACACAAAGTGTAGCAAAATAAAAAAAACTGAGTTTTAAATATAATATATAAAAAGTCATTAATATTTGTGCATGGAGCTGAAGAGCCGCATCTTGACATCAAGGGAGCCGCATGAGGCACCCGAGCCGCAGGTTACCGACCCCTATCTAAATGCCTTTCGGTATTTTATTTTTCTTTAAAGGTGTCCCTTTATAGATAACTCCGAAACATCTCGTGAGCACAATTGATTGCGTATAATTAAAATTTAATAGAAGTATGTTGTCATAATGCTACTATTTTTATACTTTCAAACAACACCTACAGTTAAGTAGTCACTTGGTAAAATATACTGTTTTGCCAAAGCTACATAAATAATTTTTAAAAATTACTTACGATAATTATGTAATGAAATTTAAAACTTTTTATTGTGTTTTTTCAAGTACGTTTTATTTACACTTGGTTAATTTGCTACTTTTGTGAAAGTTATTTCCCTTGCATAAAATTTTTGGATTTGGATTTCCAAATGGGAGATAATGCGTTGCTTAAATTTACGTTCATTTTGAATTCCTGAACCTTAGGTTGGCCGCTTACTTATAAATATAACTCTAGCCTATCATTTGCTATATTAAAAAAATATAGAGCAGAAGTTCTAAGTAAAATAGTTTGGTAGGTTTCAGTGGCGTAGCTACTGTAAAGTTAGCGTAAGTAAGGCATAGGGGCCCAAGGAAAATAGTGGACCTTAATCCTCTTTAAAAAAAATTAAAATGTTTACATTGAAACTTATATTTTTTCATTAAAAATAATTTTAAAAAGAAAATTTAAATCCCGTTTCTTTTTTATATTAGAAATAGAAATATTAGAAATAATTAAAAGGCCCCCAAAAAAAGGCCCCCAGTTTCTTACTGTACAGGCAGTGGTATTTAATGGTGAGTGGGGGGGGGGTCGTACAGTACCCATCCGTATTGATAACATTGTCGTACAAGTTATTGGGAGAATAAACCTATAAATAAAGTTGTACCTTGAATCTTTGTGTAAATTAACACGCTTCGCTACAAACCTCAATTGACTGGGAAATTCTCTACCCCGTCCCAAAAAAAAACTTGCAACCCCCACCCCCCCCCCCCCCCCACCCCCACACACACACACACAAACCTGTCTGCCCTCCCGAAATTCATTTCATCCATGATTACTGATTTTGTGTGTGTCTGTCTGCCTGTCCTTTATGCAATAATACACTAATCATCCACATCGCCATGGAACATTGGAAAGTCTTTTAGAATACTCCAGATAATCTCAACTGACCGTGAAATGCCCTACCCCACCTCCACACATGAGGTGCTGGGCCTTCCCCCCCCCCCCCCCTCGAAGAGAAGCCAAAAAGAAACTCTGCCTCCTGTAGCGTTTTCTGCCAATAAATATTTTTTTAATTTCTTTTCTGAGGGCAGCGCCCTGGCAGTAAGGTGGTTCGGTTTACCACCCAGAGCTTCCCAACAGGTTTCTTAGTACCTGGAGATCAGCTGATTGGGCGTCCTCCACAAGGGGTCAGGGCTACTGCTAGATTCAACTGTCAGACTGCATAAGCACTGTGTTCAACCTGAGGACTACGGCGCATATACTTGTTTTAATGAGCGCCATGCCCTAAAGAAATGGAGGACTACTATAATCGATGATAAAATAAAATAAAGGGTGTCCTACAGCGCCTCAGCAGTAGTATACAGCTGGGCGCACCGTGTTTCTCCATTTTTATGATGGTATGAAAAAAATTGTAGATCTGCCATTATGGTCAGTAACTTGGCCAGCTAAAGTGGACCTCAAGGTAAATATTAATTATTTTGCAAACTTAAAAGAAAGAGAAAAAAAAACAAATCTTTATATATATGTGACCTTCCCCGAGTCTATCCTGCCCGACAACGCCAATTGTAACGAGTTGAACCACTCATGCTACACAACATCGACTACAGTAGAAAGACTCGAAGATGCAGGTTCGCTATTGATCCTTTTATTACATGAATCAAGAAATGCTTCAATATAACACAATGAATCAACAGGAATGTTTCACAATAATAGTCTGAATCAACTGACCCCTAACAGTCCTCACTAGGCTTCATATAACTGAATCCACATGTCTATTGTCCTTCTTAACACAATATAACCAACTTGATATGTCACACAGACTGACTGATCTAAAGCGAGCGATGAAGAGGGAAGAGCGATCGAAAAGGGGAGAGAGCTCCGCTGTCCCCTCCTATTTATCCCTTGTATTCGTACTCGTCCTTGTACTTGTATTCCTCCGTAATCGATACTTGTACTCGATGTCTCCGACCACTAGTTGCGCAGTTCTAACGTACAGTCCGTGTCATAAACATCTGCATCCTATCAATCAAAGTTGACAGGCCGTCTGAATCCCCTCGAACCGTTTCCCAAAATAGCACGCGTTGGCTTTGAGATTGTTATCAGTCCGATCCAATAAGCCACCTGCTATCGGTTGCATCAGACTGTAATACTGCGTCTCGGCTTATCGTTCGTTATCAGATTTGTAACTAGTAGCTAGGCCTACCCTAGTTACATATATATATATATATATATATATATATATATATATATATATATATATATATATATATATATATATATATATATATATATATATATATATATATATATATATATATATATATATATATATATATATATATATATATATATATATATATATCGAAGTGCAACATTTAAAAATTTGTGTTTGGTGTGTGGCGTCACTAGGTTCGGTATCACCCTGTGCGTTTAGTGAGTGTCACCCTACCCCCACCCCCCTCCAACAATTTTGCATTTCCGGCGGAGTGTCACCCCTTCTGCCTAATATTTTATTACTTTAACTGGATAAAACATAGTCTTAACAGTAAATTTTATGAGTTTTCGTAATGGTGTCACGCCTAAACGGTGTCAACTGCACCCCCCTACCTTGTTAAGCTACTGTGTTTTGGTTACTTAAATGTTGCAGGCTTACAGAGTTTCTTCCACCCCCCGAAAAAAGCACCCCCTACCTTGTTAAATTAAGCTACTGTGTTTTAGTTACTTAAATGTTACAAGCTTAAAGAGTTTCTTCCATCCCCCGAAAAAAGTCTCTTCCCCCCAGAAGGGATGCTTGGAAGAAACATGGATCCTCATACCTAGCATGTTTTCATGACCACCTTCTTGAATTAACTGGTGCGAGTACTTGCCTTTTCACAATGGTAGAAATATTTCCACGACTGCCCCTCCCTCTTCCACCCCATGATTTTGAACGTGACGTCATTCTCGCATACGCAGCGGGGGTTGCTGACAAAAGGCTCCCACTTGTTGACGTCCGTCTCCACGATGGCCGCCATCTCCCCGGGCCGGCAGATGTTCTTGTCCTGGAACACTCGCGTACAGAACCTGTACTGGACGCTCCAGTGGGCTGAGGGGGTGGGGCGTGGGAGGGTGGGGTGGGGAGTGGAAGAGGAGGGGAGGAGAGTAGTTAAACAGATTATAATAGATTATAATAGATTATAATAGCAAAAATGTGCTTAATTTCAACAGGACCGTAATCAATAAATCCACCCACCCCGCTATCCACCCACCCACCATACCATCCACCCACCCACCCTACCATCCACCCACCCTACCATTCACCCACCCTACCATCCACCCACCCAACCATCCACCCACCCAACTATCCACCCACCCTACCATTCACCCACCCAACCATCCACCCACCCTACCATTCACCCACCCTACCATCCACCCACCCTACCATCCACCCACCCTACCATTCACCCACCCTACCATCCACCCACCCTACCATCCACCCACCCTACCATCCACCCACCCTACCATCCACCCACCCTACCATCCACCCACCCTACCATCCAGCCACCCTACCATCCACCCACCCTACCATCCAGCCACCCTACCATCCACCCACCCTACCATCCACCCATCCTACCATCCACCCACCCTACCATCCACCCACCCTACCATCCACCCATCCTACCATCCACTCTACGATCCATCCACCCACTCTGCAATCCACCCACCCTACCATCCAGCCACACTACCATCCACCCACCCTACCCTCCACCCACCCTACCATCCACCCACCCTACCATCCACCCACCCTACCATCCACCCACCCTACCATCCAACCACCCTACATCCACCCACCCTACCATCCACCCACCCTACCATCCACCCACCCTACCATCCACCCACCCTACCATCCACTCACCCTACCATCCACCCACCCTACCATTCACCCAATAGTTCTTCTATCTAAAACGTTCCTTTACTTTGTGTCAATACAATATGAAAGAACACACATTTGTAAGCAGAGTTCAGAGTGTAAATTAACCTTTCATGCCTGTGATTACAATGCCAGTAAAAAAAACACCAACATCATATCTCCCCATTTACAAAGTTTCGTATGTATTTCAATAATCTATCTAATCTATTAACTAACGAATTATTAAATAACTACACGCAGGCTATGTATTTTTTGATATCTAAACAAGGGAACCAAAAGCACGTTTTGATTCCTAACAATAATGAAGTTTAAAATCCCTATGCGGCACCCTACTATATGTAACCAAAACCCTTTTTTTTCTCTCTCTCATCTGCTATGCATTCAGCACAACGGAAATTGTGATTAAAACATCCAATTCAAACTTCAACATCCGAGTGCTTTCCCCTTTTATTCACTCACGATTTTCCCCGGACAAATTGTTGTATGTCTATCTCGCTGAAAGCCGTTTTCGTTAAAAAGACGAAACGCGATCGCTTCCCTTTGGCCTGCGACGCGTTTTGTTTTGTGTTGTTTTTATTGATTTTACCATCGGGCAAGTCTCACGTCTGAAATGGACGGCGATCTCGGAAAAATCTGACCTGTTTTGTTGCATTATAGAAGGCTGGTTTAATTTGGTACACCACAGTACGATGGCTGACACGGGCAAGCTAAACGGATAAGGGATAAATTAAAAATAATAAGAAGTGTAGCTGGTTTTGTACTTTCTCGTATATACGAAGTATAGAGAAAGTCTTGTAATCGTGCAAAAAAAATCGAGATTTGTAAAAATCTCGACGTTCTACGCCCCCCTGAGTCGGAAAAAAATAGTTTTGCAATCTTGTCCGAATGTCTCTGTGTGTGTGTGTATGTGTGTGTGTGTGTGTGTTTGTGTAAACACGATAACTTGAGTACCGTTACAGCTAGTAGTAATTTTCACTGTTTCCGATTTCTCAAAAAACGCATGTGAATTTATAAAGTACTAATAATATTCCGCACTATTATACACATCTTTATTCGGCGTTCGCTTGGGGGCAATTCTTTTTTCTATGCGATGCTATTCTATTTTAAAAAGTTTAATTATTTAAAATGGATTAAAAATCATAACTATATCCCGAGTTCCCATCCCCTGTTGTTTTATATAAGAATATTCGAGAAAGTTTAAAGGAGGTAACTCCCGGGCATGTATGGGGTTAAAGTGGCATATGCCTTCAGATGACAACACGTTGATAAAGTGGCATATGCCTTCATATATCAACGTGTGGTTAAAGTAACATATGCCTTCAGATGGCAACATGTTGTTAACGTAGCAGCTAAGCCTTCAGAAAGCAGCATACGCGTAAAGTTGATTACGCCTTCATGTGAAAACATTTACAAATAAACGGATTATAGAAAAAAGAATGATCAAATAGATTGAGATTAAACAATTTACCAGACAAATGACATGAAACGCGTCAATGCAAATGATTTAAAAGCTTTGGGGCGGCTACTATTCCCTGGTGTGGTGTGGTGTGTGTGTGTGTGTGTGAGAGTGTGTGTGTGTGTGAGTGTGAGTGTGTGTGTAAGTGAGTGTGTGTGTGAGAGAGAGTGTGTGCGTGCGTGCGTTCGTGTGCGAGGACGGGATGGAATGTGGTGTGAAAGGTTGGGGGAGGAGGGTTAGTGCATGTTAAGGTTAGTGCTGGTGCGAGTGTGTGTAACAATCTAGAGCCGGTGTTTAGTCATTTGTGCTAGGGTCCCGTTTCTTTAGCGAGAAAATAATGGCGGCACTTAGCGTTTGTTGTTAGTTTACAATCAAAATGGCGGCCCCTTGCGTTTATTACTAACCTGCAGCTAACAACAAAAAAAAAGTTTTAAAAAAATAATGTCATCTCTGTTTTTAAATTTAAAATTAAAATTGATTTTTATCTCAAGCCGTCCCTTTACAAAAAAAAATGTACAAAGGGAGAAAACTATTGTCCTGAATTATATAGAGTTGCGTCCCCTATTTAGTGTTGTTTTTAAAAAAATCGATGAAACAGAATCCATTGCGTGATTAACGCGCACATTTGATGCTGTTTGAAATTAATCACTGCAAGCCCCCCCCCCTCCTGTATTATTTCTTCACCACCGCATCCCCCCTCCCCCCCCCCCCCTTATTTCTATCTCTCACCGAGTCTTGTCCCTTGTTTTACTAGACTTTAAAACCAGTCCTTGGTTTATTTTTATTCCATTCTGCAGGTTCGGCGCTAGATTAGTGGGAGCGGAATGTTGTGGAAGCGATTATCGCACTGTGTTCCATTCTTGTGTGAAAACAGTTACACAATGGAAACCTTGACTAAACAGTTTGACACGAAAGTAAAAATTTTAAAAATTATAGAAATTTTTCAGGTTATTAAATCATAACATAACAATAAAAAAAATATTTTATTTAAAAAAAAAGACCACACGAATCAGAGATGATTAAAAATCTTTCAAAGATCTGTCGAACGAAAAAATAACAATGACATTAAAGCAAAATATAAAAATAAAAAATAAAAAGATTTTTTAAAAATATTTTTAAAATATTATTTTTTTTTAATATTTAAAAATTATTTTTTTAAATCTTTTTTAAAATAAATAAATACAATAAAATTAAAAAACAATAGGAACCATGACTATTGAACAAAACAAATTTGGATGACCCAAATCGTAATGAAAGCGGAACATGTTTACTAAAAAACTACTCCTTATACAATGGACCATTTTTTTACCCGGGCAAAATAGACTGGCTTTGATCAATGTTATCTAATGTCGTCAAACCCAAGAAAAAAATAACATTCAATAAATTAGCATTCAACAAATAGACAATCAAGTAGGCTAGTCTTAAAAAGGTTACAAAATAGTCTTATATTGAAACACCCCTATCTTTATGGACTAGTCCGCATACAATCTTTCTTTCATACTTTAGGCTCCGAGGGAATGGGGGAGGGGGGGGGGCGAGACTTAAATGACTAAATTTTCCGAGGGGAGGGGGTGAGAGAGAACATAGGTTAAAGTATATAAATTCTATTTCCCCGAAGAGATGCCTGAAAGAAACAAATTTGACCTTATTCGAACATAAACTCAACAGTACTTGAATTGTGTCTGAGTTGGATTTGATCTCGGTCGATTAGGGTGGGTTACGACCGGAGCAAGAGAGAAAAACTAAAGTCTGATTCTCGGCTCACCTCGCTCGTAGTGCTGCCACGTCAGGCTCTGGTCCCCGTGGGTCTCGTCCCAGGTCTTGCTACACGCCAACCCGTCCCGACATATGCAGTTGTCTCCTGTAAGGGAGGGGTGGGTGGGGGAAGGGTGAGGTGAAATGTAATGGGTGTGGTTTTAAGGTTGGTGTAGTTTTTGTTGATGTAGGGTGTAGTGGTTGTGGTGTTACTGGGGTGGTGGCGTTGGTTGTGGTAGTAGTGGTGGTGGTGTTAATTAAAAGTTGTGATGTTGGCGTTTGTGGTGTTGATTGCAGTTATGGTGGTGGTGTGGTGATGATAGTGATTGTGATAGTAGGGGTGATGGTTGTGTTGTTGATGATGGTGATGTTGTTGTTGTTGGTGTTGGAATGGATGGTGGTGGTGGTGATAATGGTCATTTTAGTGGCGTAGCGGTAATGGTGTTGGTCGTGATGGTGGTGGTGTTGTTGATGGTGGTAATGGTGGTGGTGGTGGTGTTGATGGTGGTGGTAATGTGGTGGTGGTGATAGTAGTGATGGCGGTGGTGTAGGTGTTAGTGTTGATGGTGATGGTGATGGTGATGATGTTGTTGGTCGTGGTTTTAACATCTTTAATCAATAAAAACTGACATCTTCAACCAACAGTGCCACCCACCAACAATGACACCTATAACCAACACATAAAACTGGCACCTAGACATTGAATAAAAACCAAAACAAACACAACCCAAAATCAATGATGAAATCAATCGTCAGGCTGTTCATGTACCCGGGATACATTGGAGACGACAGGAAATATTTTGGCAGCCTCTCATCTTTATTACAGAACTACACGTATCTCTACCATGCAGGGGAAACGTAGTCAATACAACTTGATAGGATTGTTGCTGTCTTGTGCCAGATTTTTGTGGTGCTTTGTTACGTAAGGTTGGCAGTGTTGACAGTTGTGTCAGTTGGTAGTTTGGTCAATTGGTAGTGTGGTAAGTTGGTAGTGTGGTAAGTTGGTAGTGTGGTCAGTGTTTTTAGTGTTTTTAGTATGGTAAGTTGATAGTGTGGTCAGTTGATGGTATGGTCAGTTGGTAGTGTTGTTAGTTTTACCAATGTTATACTAGAGACACAGCACACTAAAAAACAACGACGACTTTTTAAAATTATTTTACCATAGTATCATATTCTCAAAAAAGCATGTTCATTTCTTGGTGTGTCACACCTAAGTACAGTGTGTGTGTGTGTGTGTGAGTGTGAGTGTGTGTATGTGTAAGTGTGTATGTGTGTGTGTGTGTGTGTGTGTGTTTGCGTGTCATATGTGACTTGCATGAGTTTTACCTTCGTCCACCGTGGTCCCGTCCCTGTACCTCATCAGTGTTGTACACACATGTTGACCGCCACAATCACGGACTGCCTAATGACAAAAAAAATAAATGGACATACAATAAATGGCTTGGTTGATAACGCTAGCCACTTCAGCCATGGGTAAGGTTAGGGTAAAATGGTTTGAGGTGAAATGTATATTTCAATTACACTAGCAATGTATGTCAACTAGTGCAGAATAAATACGTGCAAGTGAAACCGCTATTCATCAACCCGCTGCAAGACACCCATAAAGTATTCCATTCGATTTTCTCTATTTCGAGAATAGATAGGACGAAAATACAATGTACCGAAATCTCCGAGGTATAGCCTAATAAGTTAGAAAGAGTAACCCGCCTTTCCTGGCTAGAGAGTATCGCTCAGTCTGGGCAAACGAGTATCGATTTGATTAAAAACTCAGAACTGGCGTCGAGCAGTCATAGCTAAGGGAAGGGCAGAGCGCTCTCGTTTAGTTCCGCTGCTGTCCGACGAATTATCTTTCGCACATTAGTTAGGGATTGTGGGAAGTCAGATTCGGCATGATTATTTCATGGCTATGGGAGGTGTAGGATTGCGATATGGAACGAGGCAAGTCGGGATTCGATGTGGCGATATGGAGATTTGTGCTGTGGTCCCATCGGATGAAAATTTGGAAATGTAATTAGTATCCTGGAAACGGGATATTAAAAAGACATTGCTGTTAGAGCATCTTCCAGCCATCTCTCCGTGGGGAAGGGGGTAGGAGAAGGGGGGGTCAAAATACGTCAGCCGCCCACGCCCCCTTTCCCCCCCCCCCCCTTTACCAACGCCCCGTGGTGAAATATTTAAAAAAAAACAGTTACACATCCACGTACTTTGTCTGTGGAACCTTATAACAACCTTCATACCCATAATACTTATCGTCGTCGTTATCATTGTCGTCGTCAGTATCATCATAGTTAACACCAAATCGTTATCGCTAACACGACCAAAACATAATCATCATTATAATCCTCACTACCATAATCGTTTTTATCATTGTCAATACCAACAGTATCTGCATCGTCCCCTAACCAATACTCCAGCATTCCTCAGAATCTACCATAATGCTTATAGTTACAACCATAACCCTTATAGGTCTAAAATTTAGAATCTAAAAGAAGGCGTAAGGCTGGGCGAGAGGCTAAGTAACTTATGCCATGTACGCACCTTGTATGTGTGCCTATGTGTCATGTATGTGTACATGCCGATTACCTACTGCCAACATTATGTCACGTGGTGCTAGAGAGGGTTAGAGGTCACCTACAATGTAAACATGAAGGTCAAGTTCGCTTTCTGACTAGGTGGTCCATTGAAAAGGTGAAGTAAAATTGATCTTTTACTCTGACTAACGAGGGTATAGTGTGGAGAGCACTATCCCCTGTGAGTGTACGGTCCACGCTTGGGTTCCGGTACCTATTAGAGCTGGGTAGGCTCAGGAATCTTCTCTGAGTTAGCAATTGAATGTTCTATTGCTCGTACGTTGATACGGTATATTTTGTCTGAGATATTTTGCCTGAAATATTCTGTCTAAGATATTTTGTCTGAGATATTTTGTCTGAGATATTTAGACTGAAACATCTTGTCTGAAATATTTTGCATGAGATATTTTGTCAGAAATATTTTATCTGATATATTATGTTTAAGATCTTTTTTCTGAGATATTTTTTCTGAGGTATTTTTTCTTTTGACTGAGATATTTAGTCTGAGATATTTGTCTGAGATATTTTGTCTGAAATATTTTGTCTGAGATACTCTGTTTGAGATCTTTTTTCTGTGATATTTTTTTCTGAATTATTGTTTCTAATGTCTTTTGTCTGAGCTATTTAGTCTGAGATATTTAGTCTTAGATGCTTCCTTCATAAAGTTTGTTTCGTATAAAATGTGTGGCAGATATTAGTCCTAGTTTTGAAAACATGTGTTTGAATTCAGCCAATTCTTCACTACTTCTTCTCATTCGTTTTAGTTTCATATTTCCTAACAACGTGCTAGGCGCCATTTGGCCCGACCACACCATTCCCTTACCATTTCGTTATATCTTATTTGACTAAAGTACTTCTGTATTAAACGGTATGTATGCGCTAGCTTTCAAGCAGTGTTTCTTCCAGACTTTTTTCTCCGTGGGAGCACTTGAAATTTTCGGGGGGGGGGGGGGGGGGGCGGTAGACTTTCTTCGGGGGGGAGGGGCGGACACTGTTAAAAGTATATTTCTTCTATATAAATTATATACATTTTATTTCGTTCGGGGGGGGGGTAGAATTTTTTCGGAGGGGGGGGCCCGAAGAGATGCCTGGAAGAAACTCTGCTTTCTAGCTGGACACCAAGGCACGAAGATTTCTCTAGTTTGTCTAAAACAAAACTACATTGACAGACACAGTTATCCCCCTGTTTTCATCCTACAGTTGTCCCCCTTGTTTTCATCCTACAGTCGCCCCCCCCCCCCCATGTTTCCATCCTGCAGTTACCCCCCCCCCCCCCCTGTTTTCATCCTACAGTCGCCCCCCCCCCCCCTTTTTTTTCTTCTTCCTACAGTTGTCCCCCTTGTTTTCATCCTACAGTCCTAACCTCCCTCCAGGAAATGTCTGCTTGGTTCTATTCTGGAGCTCCACATGACGAACTGCTGCACGTAATTAGATTTACAGGACCCGGGGTAATGCTCTAGAGGGAACTTTTCGGGTTGTGTGTGGCTAGGTCGTGTGTGGCTAGGTCGTGTGTGGCTATGTCGTGTGTGGCTAGGTCGTGTGTGGCTAGGTTGTGTGGGGCTAGGTTGTGTGGGCCTAGGTTGTGTGGGGCTAGGTCGTGTGGGGCTAGGTTGTGTGGCTAGGTCGTGTGGGGCTAGTTCGTGTGGCTAGGTTGTGTGTGGCTAGGTTGTGTGTGGCTAGGTCGTGTGTGGCTAGGTCGTGTGGGGCTATGTCGTGTGGGGCTAGGTCGTGTGTGGCTAGATCGTGTGGCTAGGTCGTGTGTGGCTAGGTCGTGTGGCTAGGTCGTGTGTGGCTAGGTGGTGTGTGGTTAGGTCGTGTGGCTAGGTTGTGTGTGGCTAGGTCGTGTGTGGCTAGGTCGTGTGTGGCTATGTCGTGTGGGGCTAGGTCGTGTGTGGCTAGATCGTGTGGCTAGGTCGTGTGTGGCTAGGTTGTGTGGGGCTAGGTCGTGAGGGGCAAGGTCGTGTGGCTAGGTTGTGTGGGGGGCTAGGTCGTGGGGCTAGGTCGTGTGGCTAGGTCGTGTGGCTAGGTCGTGTGGGGCTAGGTCGTGTGGGGATATGTCGTGTGGGGCTAGGTGGTGTGGCTAGGTTGTGTGGGGCTAGGTTGTGTGGGGCTAGGTCTGTTAGCTAGGTTGTGTGGGGCTATGTCGTGTGGGGCTAGGTCGTGTGGCTAGGTCGTGTGGCTAGGTCGTGTGTGGCTAGGTCGTGTGGGGCTAGGTTGTGTGGGGCTAGGTTGTGTGGGGCTAGGTTGTGTGGGGCTATGTCGTGTGTGGCTAGGTCGTGTGGCTAGGTCGTGTGGCTAGGTCGTGTGTGGCTAGGTTGTGTGGGGCTAGGTTGTGTGGGGCTAGGTTGTGTGGGGCTAGGTCGTGTGGGGCTAGGTCGTGTGGGGCTAGGTCGTGTGGGGCTAGGTTGTGTGGGGCTATGTCGTGTGGCTAGGTCGTGTGGGGCTAGGTTGTGTGGGGCTAGGTCGTTTGTCTAGGTTGTGTGGGGCTAGGTCGTGTGGGGCTATGTAATGTGGGGGCTAGGTCGTGTGGGGCTAGGTGGTGTGGGGCTAGGTTGTGTGGGGCTAGGTTGTGTGGGGCTAGGTCGTGGTTAAAAGAGGGAATAATTGGGAATGTTTTGAAGGAGCAGTCGGTATAATCAACAAATATATTTAGGGGGAGGTGTTGGTATAATCAATAAGTATTTTTAAGGGAGGTGTTTGTAGATAAAAGAAAGAAGCGGGGTAGGGGAGGCTATAACTAATCTGGGTATGGAGGCTGTAAGTAATGGTAGGTAGAAGGGAATCGTAAATAAAAGTGTGTATGGGGAGAAACAAAAAATCAACAACAAACAGAAAGGGGTGTGAATAGTAGTATGCAGATGGGGGGGGGGGCTCAATAACAGGATGTATAGGAGAGGGCATTCAATTAGAGTTAGTTGGGGTCAGTGTTTCTTCCAGACTGTTTTCTCCGGGGAGGGGGGGGGGGGACACTTGATATTTTCGGGGGGCGGACTAAATTTTCCGGGGGTGGGGGGCGAACACTGGTAAATGTATATATTTGCTATATAAATTCCATTTTGTTCGGGGAGGCGGTAGACTTTGGAAAATAAATCTTGAATTTTTAAGCTCAAAAGCCAACCAACACTAACTCATGAGAAATGTGTCGTTTTTTTCCAGACATTTTTCTCCAGAGGGGGGGGGGTGTCTTGATAATTTCAGTGGATGGAGGGGGGGGGGGGGGGGGGGCGAACAACATTTTCCGGGTAAGGGAACGGACACTGGTAAAATTAAATGTTTTCTATATAAATTTCATTTCGTTCGGAACGGGGAGTGGGTGGGAGGCGTTAGACCTTCTTTGGGGAGGGGGGGCGGAGTCCCACCCGAAGAGATGCCTGGAAGAAACTCTTATGTAGGCCTAGTTATCAGATAAGATTACGGGTATAGGCTACACTGGTTTAGGTTAAGAAATAAACAATGTTTATGACAGAATCAACGACGTGTGACTTACCTGGGATTCACCGGAACTTGCTATATCCAGCATGGCTAACAGGACTGCGCATGTCAGGACAAATATCCCATCCATGATGGCTGTGTGAGTTAAAATTTCCGGCAACAAACTTTCGTTGTTAATCGGTCAAATTAGTTTCCAATTATGTCTGTTGACAGTGTTGTATCAGATAATGTTTATCTGTCCTTCTTAAATTCAATTAAAGATGTTTCAGCCACTAGCAAACTAGCAGCGTTCGTGTTAGTTTAAACAGTTGGTCTAGAATTAAAATAGAATTTGCATTGTATTGAAAAGTGTATTTAATTAAATGTTTGCTACGTACGCCTTGTAAAACGTGTCCTTTTGAATGTGTTTTATTGAATGTGTCCTATAGAAAGTATCCAGTATAGTGTGTCCTGTCAGAATGTTTCCGAACGTGTAATTGTAAAATGTGTCCTAAAATATGCTCTAAAGAATGTCCTAAAATATGCTCTAAAGAATGTGTCCTCAAATATGCTCTAAATAATGTGTTCTAAAATATGCTCTAAAGAATTCTCTAAAATATGCTCTAAAGAATGTGTTCTAAAATATGCTCTAAAGAATGTCCTAAAATATGCTCTAAAGAATGTGTTCTAAAATATGCTCTAAAGAATGTCCTAAGATATGCTCTAACGAATGTCCTAAGATATGCTCTAAACAATGTCGTAAAATATGCTCTAAAGAATGTGTTCTAAAATATGCTCTAAAGAATGTTCTAAAATATGCTCTAAAGAATATCATAAAATATGCTCTAAAGAATGTGTTCTAAAATATGTTCTAAAGAATGTCCTAAGATATGCTCGAAAGAATGTCCTAAAATATGCTCTAAAGAATGTGTTCTAAAATATGCTCTAAAGAGTGCGTCGTAAAATATGCTCTAAGGAATGCCCTAAGATATGCTCTAAAGAATGTCCTAAAATATGCTCTAAAGAATGTCCTAAAATATGCTCTAAAGAATGTGTCCTAAAATATGCTCTAAAGAATGTGTTCTAAAATATGCTCTAAAGAATGTGTTCTAAAATATGCTCAAAAGAATGTCCTAAGATATGCTCTAAAGAATGTCCTAAAATATGCTCTAAAAAATGTCCTAAAATATGCTCTAAAGAATGTGTCCCAAAATATGCTCTAAAAATGTGTTCTAAAATATGCTCTAAATAAATGTGTTCTAAAATATTTTCTAAAGGTTATGTCCTATAACAGTAACTACAGAATGTAAAAACTGTAACACCCTAGTTCACATTGACGAATTTTGTCGTATCTTATTAACTACAAAACCTCTATCTAATACCGGCCGTAATGCAGGTAGGCCTACATGAGAACTTCGTTTTACACTCACACAGTCGTACAACCAACAGTAAGGACAAACTCAGTCCGCATCAATCGAAGTTACTGACTGTGGAATTCTCGAGAACTTCTAAGGGATAGATATCTAGATATTTAACACCCAGTTTATCTTCGGTGGAACTATCTATAATTTCTTTTGGGTACCGATATCTAGAATTTCTTTTAGGCACCGATATTTAGAATTTCATTTAGGCACCGATACCTACATAACAGCTAGTCTATTTTCGGTAGAAACCTCGAGAATTTCTTAGGCACCGATATCTATATAACTCCCAGTCTATTTTCGGTGGAACTCTCGAGAAGTTTCACTGTGCGTGTAAAGATCCCAATAAAAATGAAAACTGTAACTTGCAACTCATTAATAATAAATGTCAATTAGCTCCTTAAAAAGTTTAATTATTTTTCTGCAGTTATTTTAGCGAGTAATATAATCGTGAAAATCAAATTGCGTTATTGCAACACGACCTAGGTTATATATTACTTAACTAAACAAAATTTAAATATTAACAAAATAAGTTATAAATAATATAACATTAACGCAACTTGAATTTCACGAAAATTAAATAGGCTCTATTAATTAAAATTAGTTTAAAATGAGCAGTCATATAGTGTCGGTTGAAGTGAACCTATGTGAATTTCTGTATTACAATTTCGTAATTGTAGTATTACATACACACAAAACTACTGTTATAATTTTAAATCAATGTCGTTCATATGTAGGTCTCATACCTTCAGGGTATTTGATTAAACGTGATTCACGCTAAACTCTAGTAGGAGTAGCAGGTGTATGGACACCTACAACGTATTCATTCACCTATAACTTATCCATATAACTACAACTTATCCATATTCTAGAATGTATCCATACACCTACAACTTATACATACACTTACAAATTATTCATAAACCTATAACTTATCCATGTTCCTACAGCTTATCAATACACCTACAATTTATCCATAAACCTACAACTTATCCATACACCTTTCCCTTATCCATGCAACTACAACGTATCCATACACCAACATCTTATCCATACAACTGCAACTTGTTCATACACCTACAACAGTAGCGTAGCCAGGATCGTCTCATGTGGGGGGGAGGGGTTCAAATTGTTTACCCGGGGACAAACTTTCGATTTGCACACCCCCCTCAAACTTTCGATTTACACCCCCCTCATACTTTATATATATATATATATATATATATATATATATATATATATATATATATATATATACCGAGGGGACTATGGGGGGGGGGGGGGTTATGACCCCCTCTAACCCCCCCCCCCCACCCCTGCCTACGCCACTGACCTACAACTTATCCATGCAACTTATCCATACATCTACAAATTATCTACACACAACACGTCAACATAACATACAACACATAAGCACATGACTAGCAACCAGCAGAAATCCCAAACGCATCGAGTCCTTCAGAAAGCACCAAGTCCTATAGTACGCACCAATTCCTATAGAACGCACCAATTCATTAAAAACGCACCCAGACCTAAAGAACGCACCAAGTCCTATAGAACGCACCAGCAGTAAACACACACGCCGAAGACCTTCTTCCCGGAGAAAAAAAAAAGTGCTCAAAATTGGCAAGTGAGGGCTTCAGAATGCGGCTGGACTCTTCGATTCTTTTCAAAGTGTTGCTACGGAAACCCGCCCCAGCCTTGTCGAAGGCTTCAAGTCGGGTCGATATTTGTCCAATAGCTGGCCGCGCTAAATAGCATTGGGAGGCTCGGGCGATTTAAAATTTGAAGATTTGATGGTTTTCACGTGTAAAGGGTTGTTTGGTGCGAGGTGATGGGTGGGTAAGAGCAGGTATTAGTGGCGTAGGCTGGATTGGGGGGGGGGGGGGGGGGAGTGTGACTGCAACTAAAATATGACTGGGGAAAAAATAAACAGGGAGTGGTCTCCCCTAAATTCTCTCTACTATTCTTATATAACACTAGGCTTTTGAAAAATTGAAAGTAGAATAAGTTACTTTCCGGTTATCGGAAATCGCTGAAAAGTTGATACAGAACTAAAAATGTGGTATTATATAGGACATTTCATCAACCTAGCTGTAACGGTACTCAAGTTATCGTGTTCACAGACACACATACACACATATAAACACACATACACACACACAGACATAGGGACAATAATCGCAAAACTATGCTTTCCGACTACAGCCGACCCCATGGCCTACCATAAAACTACAGCCCACCCCATGGCCTACCATAAAACTACAGCCGATCCCATGGCCTACCATAAAACTACAGCCGATCCCATGGCCTACCATAAACTACAGCCGACCCCATGGCCTACCATAAAACTACAGCCGACCCCATGGCCTACCATAAAACTACAGCCGACCCCATGGCCTACCATAAAACTACAGCCGATCCCATGGCCTACCATAAAACTACAGCCCACCCCATGGCCTACCATAAAACTACAGCCGATCCCATGGCCTACCATAAAACTACAGCCCACCCCATGGCCTACCATAAAACTACAGCCGACCCCATGGCCTACCATAAAACTACAGACGACCCCATGGCCTGCTATAAAACTACAGCCGACCCCCTGGCCTACCATAAAACTACAGCCGACCCCATGGCCTACCATAAAACTACAGCCGACCCCATGGCCTACCATAAAACTACAGCCGACCCCATGGCCTACCAAAAAACTACAGCCGACCCAATGGCCTACCATAAAACTACAGCCGACCCCATGGCCTACCATAAAACTACAGCCGACCCCATGGCCTACCATAAAACTACAGCCGACCCCATGGCCTACCATAAAACTACAGACTGACGACCCCATGGCCTACCATAAAACTACAGCCGATCCCATGGCCTACCATAAAACTACAGCCGACCCCATGGCCTACCATAAAACTACAGCCGACCCCATGGCCTACCATAAAACTACAGACTGACGACCCCATAGCCTACCATAAAACTACAGACGGACGACCCCATGGCCTACCATAAAACTACAGCCGATCCCATGGCCTACCATAAAACTACAGCCGACCCCATGGCCTACCATAAAACTACAGCCGACCCCATGGCCTACCATAAAACTACAGACTGACGACCCCATAGCCTACCATAAAACTACAGACGGACGACCCCATGGCCTACCATAAAACTACAGCCGACCCCATGGCCTACCATAAAACTACAGACTGACGACCCCATGGCCTACCATAAAACTACAGCCGACCCCATGGCCTACCATAAAACTACAGACGACCCCATGGCCTACCATAAAACTACAGCCGACCCCATGGCCTACCATAAAACTACAGACTGACGACCCCATGGCCTACCATAAAACTACAGCCGACCCCATGGCCTACCATAAAACTACAGACGACCCCATGGCCTACCATAAAACTACAGCCGACCCCATGGCCTACCATAAAACTACAGACTGACGACCCCATGGCCTAACATAAAATCACAGCCGACCCCATGGCCTACTATAAAATGCAGCCGAACAACCCCATTGCTTGACTTACAAAACAACATCTTGACCGTCGCATAGAATCTTAGCCCGTCTTTGCCAGATAACTCTCTCCCTACTGAGTTCTTTCCCCTTTATAATTCCTAATCCCCAATTACTCCCCTAAACTCAGAATAAACATCTATTTTCCTCCCAGCATTGGCCAGTCAACATAAGGGAATAAGGGAGACTTTCCGTGGTAATGGTGGTTAAACAATGATGGTCAATGGCGTAGGCAGAGGGATCTTGCGGGATTAGATTCCCCCAACCTCCCCTCCCCCACAAACACACACGCCACCACCACAACGGATAACCAGAATGACAACTGTCTTACTTAATTAACACTACACCATGTGACCATACTGCTTTATATATATATATATATATATATATATATATATATATATATATATATATATATATATATATATATATATATGTTTATTTATTATTTATTTATTCATGTTTACGAACATTTATTTTGGAACACAAGGCATAAAAAAGCCTTAGCCATTTCGTCCTGTCTGTTGTTATAACATCTGCTTGTTGAGACGTTTGAATACACTCAACAATTTCTCCATTATCTTCTACATGTTTCGCCCGGTAGTGTCCATATGAAAACAGCCCTAGCCAAATCGTCTCCTATCAATCTTATCACATGGCCCAACCATCTCCATCTTCTGTGCTTGATAACTACTGTTAATGGTTGATTGAATGCAGTGTTTTTTCAAGACTTTTTTCTCCTGGGGGGGGGGGGGATTTGAAATTGTCGGGGGGTGGGTGGGGGCGGACACTGTTAAAAGTATATATTTTCTATATAAATTCCATTTCTTTGCTGGGGATGCCTGGAAGAAACCCTGATTGAATGTTGTATGGAGAACTCTCTAATCGAGAAATGTGACTAAAACATTTTGTTTGTCACATGCACTTTTGTTTTGGAGGCTTTTATTTTAAGTTCTAGCGCATTGGTAGGTTTCCAACATACAGTGCCATACAAGTGGACAATAGGTTCATTTTTTTTTTTAAAAAGCGTACTTTAGTCGTCACTAACTAGGCTTATATTTCCTGATTTCCATTTATTACTTAAAATAAATTAAGTTCCCTTTTCGCACCAGACAGTCCATTGGGCAAGTGAAGTCTAGCTCACCTGTTTCAGGTATATGAAGGGATAGTGTGGTCAGCACTTTGCCCAGCTGCCTTTATTTTCCCTAACGTGAGTCAGGTACCCGTCAGAGCTGGGTGGACTCAGGGACGATCTGCTGACGAACCCATATTGGATCTCGAGACTTCTGTGTTAGCATATCTTACTAAATGCTAATGTATTATCGTAAAAGGGTAACTCTAATACGTTAGCTTACATTAACAACAGATTAGTCCCTTCTCCACTTTTAACCTCTCTGAACCTATCTCCATTTGTGTCTTCACTTCCTTTATTAATTGTCTCCAAAGAAAGCATATTCCACTAATTACCTTTAATTTCGATGATGACAGATTAATTATAATGACGATAATTAACATATTAATTAATGAAACAGAAGACAATATCTTGCACTGCTTCATGGCAGTCTTTATTTATAATGTACATAGTTTATTTCTAATGTAATACATGTATGATCAGACTCGGGTCTACTAGTCTTATATAACCAATGATCAGACTCGGGTCTACTAGTCTTATATAACCAATGATCAGACTCGGGTCTACTAGTCTTATATAACCAATGATCAGACTCGGGTCTACTAGTCTTATATAACCAATGATCAGACTCGGGTCTACTAGTCTTATATAACCAATGATCAGACTCGGGTCTACTAGTCTTATATAACCAATGATCAGACTCGGGTCTACTAGTCTTATATAACCAATGATCAGACTCGGGTCTACTAGTCTTATATAACCAATGATCAGACTCGGGTCTACTAGTCTTATATAACCAATGATCAGACTCGGGTCTACTAGTCTTATATAACCAATGATCAGACTCGGGTCTACTAGTCTTATATAACCAATGATCAGACTCGGGTCTACTAGTCTTATATAACCAATGATCAGACTCGGGTCTACTAGTCTTATATAACCAATGATCAGACTCGGGTCTACTAGTCTTATATAACCAATGATCAGACTCGGGTCTACTAGTCTTATATAACCAATGATCAGACTCGGGTCTACTAGTCTTATATAACCAATCTTAAAAAGCTAAGCCATCTACATATTTAATTATTTTATTAAGACAAGATGAAAAGAAAAACTCAAAGATTGTACATTACTGAAACCATCGAATCCACAATTTTGAACACAAGATGATGTGATAGCTTGATGATATATTTTTTGTGCTAAGGTTTGTGTTTTACTAGGGTCTAGGGTATTACCCCCACTCCACATCCCCTATATTGAAGAACCCTAACCCCCCAATATCAATCCTAGCACCAACTCTAAACCTCTAACCCTAACCCTGACTGGGCGGTGTGGGGGGGGGGGGGGGGTATTGACAAGGGGTGGTAATAGCGCGGGGGTGTAATGTCGGGGGGGGGGGGTATGTCCAGCTCCTGTTTAAGAAGACGATACAGGTGAAATACATGACGTCACTAGTTCCACGGGATATTAACCGGCTAACAATGGTCATCATTCCACTTCCGGGTTGTGTGTGACTGACGGGAGTTTGTGATTTGATCACGATGACATGGTTGGCAGATATGGGACTGGGTTGTCACTAGTGCAGGGGGTTTCAGTAGCAACCATGACATACTATGGAGGTCAAGAGGTCACTAGACCATCCAGTCCAGTACCAACCATGCCAGTAGGTCTAGTCTGCAATGGAGGTCAAGAGGTCACTAGACCATAGAGTCCAGTAGCAACCATCCCAGCAGGTCTAGTCTGCTATGGAGATCAAGAGGTCACTAGACCATAGAGTCCAGTACCAACCATGCCAGTGGGTTTAGTCCACTATGGAGGTAAAGCGGTCACCATGCCTAATACTACTATACTGCGAGGAAGTAGCTAAAGCTGTCTCTAATTATCGGTTTTGGTACCACCATTAACAGTAAC